TTCAACCAGTTTTAGCAGACAGTTCAGTATAGATACCAACATCCCACCTCAAGCTTCAGTGGTGCTGTCTCAAAGTTCCTAACCCAAATCTTTCTCTGAAGCCCAGCAACAGAGGTAAAATGGCAGAGGTGTTGACAAACCTGGGGCAACCCCCAGCCAGCGGGAAGTGGGATAGGTCAGTCAATACCACTGGGTCGATCAGGGTCTGTTGTACCCGTTGGTTACCAATGTAGGCAACTGATTTGATCCCTGGGTCAGGAAAGATCCCCTGGAGGAGGGCATGGCAATCCACTCCAGTGTTCTGGCCTGGAGAATCCCATGGACAGAAAAGCCTGGGGGGGCTACAGTTCATGGGGTCGCAAAGAGTCAGCCATGAATGAAATGACAAGCACGTAGGCAACTGAGACTCAGTCCATCTGGTTCATGCAGAAAAACTCTGTGGAAGGCCCCCAGCTACCCCATCACCCTGCACACTGATAGAGGATTGCCTCCAGGTGCTCACTCCTGGCCGTTCTGGCGGCACCTGCACTGGTGATTCAGAGAAAGCCCCGAGGCAGAAAAGCAGAGTCACAACTTCAGGTTCTGGTAGGAGGTTGGCCAACGCAGACCACAGTCCACCGCAGCTGCGCTGAAATCAGTCATGGGGGGAGCTGTGACACAGCCATCACATGCAGCTGTCACCCTGGGGTGGGGCTTCTTACCAACATCGCTGGTGATACTTTGGACCAGTGAGAATTCTTTGTTATGGGGGCTTCCCTGTGCATTGTAAGATGCTTAGCAGCATCCCTGGCCTTTCCTCCTTAGATACCAGTTGCCCCCTGCCCAGTTGTTACAACTAATAAAATGCCTCTAGACATTGCTAAATGTTCCTAGGGAGGCAAAATCCCCTTTTATGGAGAACCAGTGTGCAGCACTGTAATTTTGGGCAAGTTTCTTCACTTCTCTAAGTCTCAGTTTCTCATCTGTTAATTGGGCGTAATAGAGGACCAACCTCAGCGTCCCTGTGTGTGCATGTGTTCAGTCGCGTCTGACAATTGGTGACCCTGTGGACCATAATCCACCAGGCTCCTCTGTCTGTGGGATTCTCCAGGCAAGAATGCTGGAGTGTTTGAGGGAAGGATTAAATGACATGGAGAACATTCATTACAGAGCAGAGTACCTGCTACACAGTACATGTTAACAACAACAATAATGCAGAAAACTTCTGTACTTGACAGTAGTGAATTTTTATGGCTAGAGTTCAAGGTTTATTTTCCCCTTCTCTGATTAAAAATAATGATAATGAAATACTTATTCCTAATATCTGTTTCTGCAAATGGAGCAAAGGCTGAATTTCAATGTGAGTAAATCAGTAAAAGTCAACATCAATCACTTCTGATCTTTCATTACCAAACACCAATTAATGCTCCTAAGTTAACATGACTATGTGCCATTTGTTGTAGATAAGTGAATGCAGGATGTAAAGGAAATAAAAGAACTAGGCTTAAGAAGTGACCAGTCCAAGTTCCGTGAATGAAACTGGGCACTCAAAGCCGGTGCACTGGGACAACCCAGAGGGATGGGATGGGGAGGGTGGTGGGAGAGGGATTTGGGATGGGGGACACATGTACACCCATGGCTGATTCGTGTCAATGTATGGCAAAAACCTCCACAATACTGTAAAGTAATTAGCCTCCAATTAAAATAAATAAATAAATTTTTTTAAAAAAAGAATAGAAAATTAGAATATCCTACTCAAGAATGATCTTGCAGTGTTTACACCTCAGTATTTTGCAAAATGCAGATTTAAAATGTACATTTACTGAAACCAATTTTTCAAACATAGTAGGCAACCTCAGGCTTAAAGGCATGAATATTTCAGGTTTATTAGCATAAACTGAATACCAGCATACAAACACTGAAATGAATTTATGGAAATTGTTAATGATTCATTACATAGAATAATTAGATTTTTGTATGATCTGAGCAAATGCATTAGCAAAAACAATTATGCACTGATACAATGAAAAACCACTCTCAGGGAAAAAGCCATTAGTGTAATAAAAAGGACATTTTGCAGGGGCTCCTCCTATACTCTCTTTGACTCAGTCCCAGGCAGCTGTTGCCATCTGCCAGGAAGAGCCCTTGGCAGAGATATCTGACCAACTTCTGCTAAATCCTCTGTTGAAAATGTCTACCCCAAAACTCTCAGAGGCCCAAGATCTATGAGAAGTAGTGAACGAATACCCAATGAGCTGACTTATCTCATTCTAAAGGATTGTAAGAAAAAAATGAAACAACGTAAGAATGAAAAGTATATTCATGGGAAATTGCTTGTGGTTTCTGAGTCTGTCTCTCTCAAACTTTTAGCGGGTGTGTCTTTTTGCCCACAGTGGACTCACTGATCAAACTTGTTGCTTCATTTTGTAACTCCTTTTTTTCTTTTCTTTTATAGGTTATTACAAAATACTGAGTATAGTTCCCTGTGCTATACAGTAAGTCCTTGTTGATTATCTATTTTATATATAGTGGTGTGTATTTTTAAAACCCAAACTGCTAATTTGTCCTTCCCCAACACTTTCTCCTTTGGTAACTATTTGTTTTCTATGTCGGTGGGTCTATTTCTGTTGTTTACATAAGTTCATTTGTATCATTTTTTAAATATTTCACATGTAAGTGATATTATCTGATATTTGTCTTTGGCCTACTTCACTCAGCATGATAATCTCTGGGTGCATTCATGTTGCTGCAAATGGCATTATTTCGTTCTTTTTTATGGAAGAATAATATTCTATTGTATATATACACCACGTCTTCTGATCTATCCCTTTGTCGATGATATTAAGTTTGTGTCCGTGTTTTGGTTATTGTATACAGTGCTGCAATGAACATTGGGGTGCACATATCTTTTCAAATTATGGTTTTCTCTGAATATATCCCCAGGAGTGGGATTGCTAAATCATATGGTAGCTCTATTTTTAGTTTTTTGTAGTAGCAGTTTTCTAGCTGTGTGCTGCCACCCTGTTTGTTTAATCTATACGCTGAGTACATCATGAGAAATGCCGGGCTGGATCAGTTACAAGCTAGAATCAAGATAGGTGGGAGAAACATCAACAACCTCAGATATGTGGATGCTGCTACTAAGTCACGTCAGTGGTGTCCGACTCTGCGCGACCCCATAGATGGCAGCCCACCAGGCTCCTGTCCCTGGGATTCTCCAGGCAAGAATATTGGAGGGGGTTGCCATTTCCTTCTCCGATATGTGGATGATACCACCCTAATGGCAGAAAGCGAAGAGGAACTAAAGAGCCTCTTGATGAGGGTGAAAGAGTAGAGTGAGAGAGCAGGCTTAAAATTAAATATTAAAAAAACTAAGATCTGGCCCCATTACTGTGTGACAAATAGAGGGGGGAAAGGTGGAAGTAGTGACAGATTTCCTCTTCTTGGGCTCTAAAATCACTGCTGTTGGTGGCTGCAGCCATGAAATTAGAAGATATTTGCTTCTTGGCAGGAAAGCTATGACAAACCTAGATGGTGTGTTAAAAAGCAGAGCATTACTCTGCCAACAAAGATCCATATAGTCAAGGTTATGGTCTTCCCAGTGGTCACGTGTGATTGTGAGAGCTGGACCATAAAGAAGGCGGAGCACTGAAAAATTGATGCCTTTGAACTGTGGTGCTGGAGAAGACTCCTGAGAGTCCCTTGGACAGCAAGGAGATCAAACCAGTCAATCTTAAAAGAAATCAACCCTGAATACTCATTGCAAGGACTGATGCTGAAGTGGAAACTCCAGTATTTTGGTCATCTAATGCGAACAGCTGACTCATTGGAAAGGTCCCTGATGCTGGGAAAGATTGAGGGCAGGAGACGAGAGCATGAGAGGTTGAGATGGCTTGATGGCATCACCAGCACAATGGACACGAATGTGGGCAAACTTCGGGAGATGGTGAGGGACAGAGAGGCCTGGCATGCTGCAGTCCATGGGGTCACAAAGAGTCACACAGGACTGGATGACTAAACAACACGTTTTCTAGTAGTAGTTTGTAACCACTTTCTAACGTGACTTCAAACTCTTAAAGTGCTGGCATCTAGAGATTGTCATATTTATATTCTGGGGCCCTGGCACAGAGCACTAAGGAGATAATGAATGAGTGAATGAATGAATAAAAATGTCAGTTAGTCCAACTCACCATGACTGGTGAAACAGGCCCTAACATCAGTTAAGAACTTAAAATATCTAAGTGTTCACAGGGATATCTCTGTAAGTACTATACCTCAGAACCACCCAGCGTTCCTATCATGGCTTATCCTTCCTAGAATAGATACAGTCTGGGGCAGCAGGAAATGAGGCAATCATGTGTAAACACTGAATGCTCAGAGCCCTGTGACATGAACGAGATCTACACCCCTCCACCCCTGCCAAGAAAAGAAGTTCGGAGATCTTCCCAATCACTGAAACAGACAAAGATATCTGCCAGGAATTGCCAGTTAACTCAGGCTAAGTAGGTTTTTTTTTTTCTGCTCAAATTAATAGTATAATTGCCTTAATTCTCCATTTGTCTATTTATGTGCAGACATAGCTTCAGATAAAATAATTTGAGGTGGCGAGTCTTGGGGGAATAAAAGGGAAGGAGCCCAGAGACAAAGGAGGAACTTTCAAAACTAGCTCAGCTGTGTCACAGAAGAGGCTGACTGCATCCAGGTGTCAGTCTGGAAATTATGAAGCGAAACTGGATCTACACAAATGATTAGGAAAGGCTTTTTTGAATTTTACAAGTAAGAATTATAGCGATTTTCATACTGTGAAACGTTTGATTTTACCTGAATCTATCAACATTTCAAAAGTAAATCCCTGTGTCAGTTGTTTCTATTTGACTGCAAGGAATCTTTTCTGTAAGAATTCAACCTGGAAAGCTTCAAACAAACAGTGGTAAGGATAAGATGGTTTGAAAAACTAAACTTAAATAATTCTACCTGTCTCCCAGGAAGTAACTCTGAATAATAAAAATCAAATTAAATACCGTAGAGTCTCACATTGATGTCATCTTGGAAGTCTTGGCTCTGAGACTGTGCTAGAGATGGACAAGTATTTTAACAAGCGTTCTGGCTTTTCGTTACCAATCCTGGTTATATTTCATCCAAGGGAATGCACCCTCTACTGCCTTCGTTGTGTTGATAACCAGTCACGAACTCCAGACTGTGAATAATCACAGCATAGTTTAAAATCTGACAGAAAAATAAGCAGGCACCATATAAATTACAATGAGATAATATATGAGAAAACTTTGTCAACCGCAGCACACCATGCAAATCTGAGTTATTATGGCATGGAAGGCTCACTGGAGTATTTTTTTTCTTTTAGTAAAATGATGTGACTAATTAGAAGGACAAAACCTCATTAAATTGTTTAACCTGATTTTCCTTTTTAATTATTGGAAGCTTATCTACTTTCTTCGAGCAGATTTCTTTTCTGAATGGAAATCTCTCCTGCTGTGATTAGATTTCACAGAGACCATGAGATACATCACCTCTGGAACTATTTGAGTCAAAGGAATATAGGATTAGTCTACCTGCATTAATTTTAATTCACTGTGGACACTGTAGACCAGGAAAAAAGTGAATGAGAGAAAAGTAAATCCAGATTACTGACTCTTGAACCCAGGTAGTTCAAATTATGGCTAAGATTTCCTTGCTTACTTGAGATTCTATTCCTGGGCCTTGAAAAGAATTCAGAGACATACTCTGAGTCAGATTTGGGGCATAACGTGAAATGACTGTTATTGTCAGCTAAATGATCTGAAAAAGTATTTTTTTTTTTCCTGAAGCCTCAATCATTTCTTTTACAGACCTAATGGTTTAAAAATGATTTGTGAAGTTCACATATATTTTAAAGTAAACTTCATAAATGTTCATGCATTTAAAAAATAGACTTAAGGAATCATAAGACCTTGGTGAATAACATTATAAACCAAATAGTGATTTTCTTTGTTTTAACTTACTTTTTCATGCTTTAGGACATTTTTTTTTTTCTCTGCAAAGTTTGCTACTCTGAGAGGGAAAAGTATGCTTTTAAATGTCTCATCAGAGACATTTAAATAAGTTTTATAAATAAGTTTAATGGGAAATTCTTTTGAAAAATTTGTCCACATCCTCTTGAATTCTCTCACCAGTTTTTTTTAAATGAACCTGTCCCCAATCGACCTATGTTAAAACATTCATAAAAATAGATATTTTAAAGATGGTTTAACAAAAATATTTCATCCTAAGGAGAGATAATTAGCCATTACTGTGCTATTCATTTTCTTTTCCTTCACTGTGCCCTGGGCCTTGCACTGCTTCTTAAATTGCTTCTGGGTGCCTCTGTTGCTAGTCCCAGCTGGGAGATCCTGAGACTCGGAACACATTATGATCCAGTTTGCAGCAATGCTGTTTCAGTAGAGTTCAGTTTTTCTAAGACCTAGTTCAAACTCAGATCAAATAACATCTCATGGGTTAATCAAATTCTCTTAACTAAAATTTTGTAGCATTAATATTCTATAAACTGACTGATCTCTTATCATACATTTAAATTGCTTTGTTCAGAAATTTGGGTCATGATATTGATCTGGTAAAGTATACTTGGGAATATCTATTTTTATTCTTACCAGTTTCACTTTCTTTTAGATTTTGAAGAAAATAAACAGGAAGATTTAAAAAAAAAAAAACAACTCACTGTGTTGTTGACTCTGATGCTACCATTCCCTATATGTGGCATCTTAAAAAAAAAAAGATACAAATGCACTTATTTACAAAACAGAAACAAACTCACAGACATAGAAAACAAACTTATGGTTACCAGAAGGGAAAGGAGGAAATTTGGGGTTTCGGATTAACAGATACACATTCCTATATGTATAAAGTAGATAACCAACAAGGACGTACTGTAAAGTGCAGGAAATTATATTCAATACCGTATAATAACCTAAGATGGAAAAGAATCTGAATCCCTTTGGTATACACTTGAAGCTAACACAACATTGTAAATCAACTATACTTCAAAAATTAAAAAATAAAATTAAATAAGAAATAAAATACTTTAAATCATACTTAATAAAAAAGTTTACTCAAATATGTCTAAATATGTAGATGTTATATGTTACTACAGGAGGAAATAGTATGGGAAAATTACATTTCCAAATGATTCTGAATGATCACACATGCACACACATCCATGACTTTTTTCCAAAGCCTAACCAAGAGCCTATAGTAGACTGAAGTCCTAAAATTAAATTATCTTAATAAGTGCAGAGGATTAGAATGAGATCTTCCAGTCACACTGATTCAAACCCAAGTGCAGTCTGACAATGGATTCTATTCTTGCACTCAAAATTTAGACTATGTGTTTAAAAATCAAATAAAAATAGTGTTTAGAATCATACAGTGATTACCATGTAATCCACATCAGACATGGCTTTTCTTTCCATAGATAATCAAGAGTTGGACATGTATTCTATTTTTGACCATATTTCTGATCCAGTTAAGTTGGTCATAATAGAGGAAAATTCAATTAATGCTTTTCAAGGCTTAGCCTTTTTTATTTAATGGATTATCGATGCTTGAGTAACAGCTGAATGAGGAGGGGGCCTTGGATACTAGTGTCCTAATGAGAGGAAGGAAATACATTCTATCAAATGTTCAGATGTACCTATTCTTAGGTTTTATTCTAACTAATTCAGTAATATTAAAAATTAATCTTTTCCACTCTTCAGAAAAGTGAAAAGTTTAGATGGGAGATTAGAGAAAAGATTTATGTACATATTATAATTATTTATGCCTGTAGATGCTCCTACAGTTATAAATCAGTGCACCCAGAGCTTGGTGCTTTGTGATCATGAAGAAGAGGTTTTAGAAATCTGCAATGGGGTGCTGTAAAGCATAGGTATTACCCAACATCTTTATGGGAAGCAGTTTCCTAGGGCAAAGGGAAGCCATTCTTCTAAGGGTGGGTACTGTATTTCACAGATTTTTGCTACAGCCAGTTTCATAATTTATTGCACCAGCTTTGTTCCTAACACACCAAATATTTCCCACCCTCCTTGCTAAGCAACCCCCACAGACTGAGAAAGAAATAATCAAGGGAGATATGTCTCTTCTTTGATTTCATCTGCTCCTCACCTGCCTGCTTCCCCAGCTCACCTCCTTTTTGAAGACCACTTACTACTGACACCTAACTGCCGGTATCCTTTATGACCTCAGAAAGACCCCATGGCAAAGCAGAAGGCTCTCAGAAGTACAGACAGGTCTGAGAACCTCGAATATGGCCTTCACCTACTGAGCTTCAGAAAACCCCCATATACACCATGATCACAGCTTAACTCCCAGAGGTTCCATGATATTATTTTATCCTTCTGAAAATCTTTTCAGGATTTAAGTGAATTTCTTACAGGCAAGTAAAGAAATTGACATGAGGGTAACCAACTGGGGACTAGAAACCAGAAGTACGTTTGGATTAGGAAGGTTCTAGCCACTGACAGGAGCCAAACTGAATTCTCAACTGTTCTAAGAAAATGACGAAAAAGAAAGGTCATCAAGATGAACGATTTGTGAGCATGAAGCAGTTGCTCTCTTCATTGGCAGACAGACACTTGTCTCATGCTTTCTCTTTCTCCCTTCCTCCACGTTCCTCTTTAGGAGTGAAGACTGAGGCACAAAAGGCAGAGATCGAGTGGCCAAGGGGCAGAGCCTGGGACTCCACACGAAAATGCTAAGATTTCAGGTCTCCAGGAGTTAACTTCCTGTGGTTCAGTCATCTTACCTCCCAACATACTTCTCTATTTTCTATGAGGCTGAATGAACTGGAACACTCTCTGGAGGAGCTTTGCCTATTTCACAGGTCCTCTCTATTAACAGAAAACCACTTCATCATCATCAGAGAAAGAAGTCACCAAATGATTATGCTCTGACTCTTCTTAATTTAAATGTCAGTTTCTAGCGGGCATTCTAACACCTCCTCCAGTTGCCTCCCTGGATTTCATCTGCTTTCTTTGTAGTAGTTGCTGGTTTTCATCAGGCCACAGGGAGATCATCCTCCCTATTCATGATCCAAGGAAAAAACTAACTGATGGCCTATTTATAACTGACAATTGTTGCCCTGTAGAAGAATGAGGAGGGAGGGTGTCTTAGGCCAAGGCCTTGCATCCAAGAGGAGAGAATGGTGTGTCAGTGATTCCAAGGTGGCGTTGCTCCATCTCTAATTACCCTGATTCATCAGCTGTTAATTCTATCAGGAATTTTTGACAGAAAATCAACATATCAGAGACAAAACTGAAGACATTAATTCTGGTCTTTTAAGCCTAAGAATATTAACATAGCAACCAATCTGATGGAGGGGACCTAGCTGAGGGGGAGGGGATGGAACACAGCTGCACAATTGCATGTTGTAATCACTGCTGTTATCTTCTGTGCTTTATATTCAACAGTTCTCTGATAGTTCTCTGTGCTGATCACTGCACATTGATTTGGAGAAAAAGAAATGAGTTTCTGAACACATAAGGCCTTTCTGGTATACTTAGAACAATTCACTTCCCTTTTTTTCTTTTCTGATGCATTTTCTGACTTCAAAGATCACGTGACTTTCTTATTTTTAACTTTTTTTTTTTAAACATAATTTACCAGGCAGGACGTTGGAAGGGGTAAAGCATGCAAAATAAATTTTAAATTGAATTAGAAATGAATTTCTTCTTAATAAGAGCCCCATTCAAAGGTTCACATTTAAATGTTCTGAGATCGTGTGCGGGATATTTATGTAAATCATTCTACTCAGACAGCTGAAAGGTACATGAGGGCATAGATTATGTTAAAAAGGCAGCACTTTGACTCCAACATGAGGCTGTATAGCTAGAAACCTCAGTGTTCTCCAACAAGAGATTTCAGGTTGTCAGCAGACCCTGCTGACAATGCCCCCCTGGCATTTCTGTCCCTGGTTGCAGACACAGGAAATGTATGCTTTAATGAGGGTGACTGGGATGCTCACTGTCCATGGTGAGGGCCCGAGAGCAAGGAGCACCTGTCTTGAGGGCAGCATCACAGAGCCCGGCCCTCCGTCTAATATAACCGAGCTTAAAAAGAGTGCCCTAAGTGCTAAATTCTCTCCTCTGAGATGATGAAAGTTAGCTCACATTGTTGAGTGCTGAGTGTGCCAGGCATAATGTCAGACACTTGACTTAAGAAGCTAATTTAATCCTGAAACAACCCTGAGAGGTGGGTTTTAATATTAGCCCCATTTTAGAGATGAGGAACCTGAAGCTTAGGAAGATAAAATTACTAACCCAAACTCCCTGGGCCAGAAAGAAGTAACAATGAGATTCTAACTGATGCTCCTAACCAGGCATAACCATCACTGCTCTGGACTCTTCCCCTGGCTGTCTCCCAACATGCCAGGATCTGTAGTTAGACAACCTTCATTCACACACCTGCGCTGCCTCTTTCTAGTGCATGTCCAGGGTGTGGGGCTGTTCCCTACCCCTTGCCAGTAGCATGGGGGAAATTAGACTTATTGCAAAAGACTGCTGTAAGAATTAAATTCCTTTTCCAATTTGACAGGGGCTCAATTAATGGTTATTGAGCCTGATTCTTTAATTCTATAAAGAAAAATATATTTGTATATTTTATGTAGCTTCTCATTACATAGCAACCAGATACCATCTCAGTTCCTCTCTCATGGTAACTTGATAAACCCTCAGTTTATCTTTGAGAACATAATTCTCCACTTTATTCTTATCTGTACATGGAGAACCATACATTTGCCCAGGCTTCGGCTTCCACATTTAGAGCTCACTTTCTCAGCAAAACGTTCACGCATATGTCAGGAAGATGCAAGCACTTGGCTCAGAGCCCCACAGAAGGGACTCGGTGACATGTTATTGAACCGAATCTCAAACTTGTCAGTGAACTCTGCCCAAGCTTATATTTACACACACCCATTTCCTGACCTGACCTCTTTGACCACGCAGGGTTCCTGCTGTTGATTGTTTGCACCTCCTCCCAGCTTACAGCCCACAGAACTTCACTGTCTCCACCTCAAGAAGGAGGAGGTGTTCCTAGCAGTGTAGCTGGGGTAAGAAGAGAAGTTGCTCAGGGTGACAGAAAGAGAGACCAAGAGCCAAGGAGCAAGAGGAGATGCGGCATACAAGGATGACTGGCTTCCTGGAGATGATGACATGGCTCAGACGGGATGGAGCAAGGGGTGCCGGCATGCTGTGAGATAGAGGGATCATGAGAACATTCCCAGCCTTTGTGACAGCGGAAAGATCGGCACAGAACTGTAGATCTCAGGACCTTTGCACAAGTTCTATGGAAATCCTTTCACTCCAGACTATGCAGCCAGTGTCTTCTCCATAGGAGCCTACTGTGACTTCTTTATTGAAAGCAGTCATTAACACCCCCATGATATTGTGTCATCTTTGTAGCTCCTTATCATGATGTGAAATTAAAGTGTTTATTGAGTTATTTGTTTTCTGATTTGTGTTCCTCTTCTAGAGCGCAAACTTCTTACTGCTGCCTCCCCAGTGTTGAGAATGACTCAGTGCATATTTGTACAATGAATGAGTTTTACCACTGACTTTTCATTCCCTTTAAAGCTATTAATTTCTTTTATTTTAGGAGATCTCCACTCAGATATCCCATTTTTATTCAAAACCAAGCCTCAAAATTGAGCTATAAATCCTCCTTTCAGTCACCCAAAGAGCCGAGATGTGTTCTGTCTCACAGCTTTTGCTTGTTGTTCCCTGTGCCTGCAACCTCCTCACTTCTTTTCTTCCCACAGAAAATGCTCTGCCCTGAGGATGGTTGTCTTTGATTTTCATCAAATTCAATGCTATTTCTCAGAAGTGAGTAAGTGAGTGAAGTCGCTCAATCGTGTCCGACTCTTTGTGACACCATGGACTGTAGCCTACAAGGCTCCTCTGTCTGTGGAATTTTCCAGGCAAGAGTACTGGAGTGGGTTGCCATTTCCTTCTCCAATTTCTCAGAAAGAGCTTCCCTAATCACCGTGATCAACCAGTCTGTCATTATTTTCTGTCAGAGCAATCTGGATTTTTTTTTCATATTAGTTTCAGATGTACAACATAATGAATCAATATATGTATATATTGTGAAATGATCCCAGTAAGTCTAGTTAACAATCATAACAGTCTAGTTACAAACTTTTTCTAACAAAAGGTGCAAACTTCCAGTTATAAAATAAATAAATCCTGTGGATGTAATGTACAGCATGATAATTATAGTTAATAATACTGTATTGGATATTTGAAAGTCCCTAAAAGAAATAGGTCTTAAAAGTTCTCATCACAAGAAAAAAATGAATTTCTTTTGTTTATTTTTTTTAATTCAATTGCTTATTTATTTGTTTGTTTCTTATCTATGTCCCTCACTGGGCTTTAAGTTTTACCAGGGCAGAAACTGTGGATATTTCATTTTATAATGCATGCTTAAAATATAGCACAATGCCTGGAACAGAGTTGATACTAAGCCAATTGTTGAATGTATGAATAATCTTAAGTCTGTCCACTTTTGAATTAGAAGGCAAATCTTACTTCCAAATTTACTAATACTTGAACCCCTTACCTCTTTCAATGTCTACATAGACTATTCCTTTGCAAAAGTGAAAAGTGAAGTCGCTCAGTTGTGTTCAGCTCTTTGCAACCCCATGGACTGTAGCCTACCAGGCTCCTCAGTCCATGGAATTCTCCAGGCAAGAGGACTGGAGTGGGTTGCCACTGAAAGGACAAGTTAAAATTCTACTTTGTCCATGGAACTTCACTGAATTACTCCAGCTGCTCTCACCTTTCCCTTAGCCAGACTCATTGGTTTAATTTATAAACTGGTGCTCAGGTCTGTAAGAGATAGAAAGGTACATCGGATAGGGTTCCTGACCTCAAAGAGGTTTAAATATTTATCACACACTTTTGGACTTCAGTGTAATGCGTATGTGTCGAATGAATAAATAGATGAGCTTAATTATAGCTTTGTTGACCTCTTAAATCATTTTTCATGATACTGAACACAAAGACTCAGCTTCTTCCCGTAATTTTTGTAGGAAGACTCAAGAAAGATCATATTAAAGAAGAATTGAGAAAGTGGCCTATTTGCAGTGAAGAATCAGTGCTAGAAAATAAAGTAGCTTTCTAGCACCTCCTAAGTCCT